GTATCATTCCTGTTTTTCTTTTCTAGAGTGTGAGGTGAAATGTTCAGCCATACAAGGGGGAGAATATCATATATTCTATTGCTATGACTTTGAACAATGTAATTTTAAAAATGAATTAATTTTATGAAAATACAATAAGAAACATTAAATACATGAAATGTGAAATACAGCTAGCTCATCATTATAGCTAATATTATAAGGAGAACAAAAAATTACTCAACAAAAATATATATTCTTGGAGTCAATATTATCACCAAAATCATATTCGTACCACTTATTGTTTCTTCTGTGTACCTTCTTGGTGGCTAAATGTATCCTGAAGACCATCTGGTCTTTTTTTTTGTCAGCTGCTTCAAATTCTTCCTGGGTCATTATCAGGGTAGCTTGGTTCCTATAATCTTACTTTAATATTTTGATTCCTACTGTGGACCACTTTGCAGCCTAGAATAAGCTTCCTGTTGCTGTAATAGACGGTAAGGAAAACCCCTGCTTCCAGTGACACGGCCACACAATAATTTTGTGGATTTCACAGCAGCAAAGGACTTACGGATGCTGCCCTTGTCTAACCTCCAAGGCTTGTTCCAAGCTGCTGCAGGTCAGCCCAAATCTGTTGAGATGATGGCAAGAAGCAGTGCACTGCTCAAGGCTCCTCTGAGTCCAAACCTAGAGGGAAAAGGCTACCTCTCTTTTAGACCACAGAAACAACCACAAAACACAAAAGCCTCACAAGCTTTTCAGTTTTTCATTTTTTAAGTGACTACTGCAGCGGCGACTAGGAACATGAAGCAAGAGGAAAAGTAGCAGAAACAAAGCCTACCCACATGTGCCAGTGAACTGTGGCCCCCCAGAGCAGGCAGAAGTATGCTGTCTATGAAGATGCTCTCAATTCTCTGCTTATGCTCTCCTCCCACGTTTCTTGCACCAAATACTTTTAATGACCGTTTCCTTCAAGAGGAAGGAAAACCAGAGAGATCATAGGAAGGGTCAAAATATAAAACAAAATACTTTTTTAACACTAATTGGTTTGGAGTGATACTTCGGGCTCTTTTCTTTCTATTTCCTTTAAGTGAAATTAAAGAAGAAAGCAGCCTTTTTTTCACCTGCCATGTAGGCAGTTACTGGTCCTTGATAGCCCCTCCATTTAAATGGATGTTGTGGCTGCTTAGTACTTCTTGAGATGGATGTGTCACACCACCTTTTAACCCTAATTTATATTCTCAAACAAGCCTAAAGGGATCTTACATTTTTTAACTTACAGTGTTTGATTTCATTGTTCAAAGTTTTGTTCTTTTATAGCTTCTTTCTGGACAAGAATTAGATGAGAAAGATCTTCAGAGGATATCAAGTACAATATTGTTGTTGGTTTTTGGGAAAATCAGGGCAAAATAGGGAAAAAAAGTACATGCATTTAATATTCTTAGAGCTTGCTTTGACAAAGCTTTTAAAAGGTGACCTGCATAAAAATTTCCTTAAACTGCTTTCTTTTAGACATGTAAACATATACTTTCCTAAAGCAATTAATACATTTTGTCTTTGCTCAGCTTCTTACTTCTAAGGTTGGAACCAAGTTCTTAAACCTTCATATGGATACACACCAAAAAGCTATTTGTCAGTACGTGTAATCGTGGAAGGTGATGTATACAAAGGTGAAAATACCATTTGTCATCACAGTCTAGCTTAAGGATGATTTGTGCCTTGGGAATAAGGCAATACGGGCGATTTTTCTTCTCATTAGCTACTTTATTCATATCTGCAGGGGCTGTCAGAAACATGCATTTAATAACACTTAGCAATCTGTGTGTTAATAAATAAGTCTTCTTGAATCTATAGAATATCTTAAAAGTCATAGTTGTGAAGAAAATGCCTTTGGTGATGAACAATTTGACCTCTCAATTGGCACTCAAAAAATAAAGAAATAAAAAATAAGAAAACCAGAATTAATCTATGATGACTTCACTGGTTTTTACTTATCACATAGGTATTTTTGCGTAAATAGAAAATTGTTTTCCCCAGTTTTAGTTAGAAAACAAATGAACAGCAGCAACAACAAAATCCACAACTATAAGTTGTCCAGTTTAGACAGGTGTTACTGAAGCAGTGGGAAAGTCCAGGGAGGTGCATACGTGGTTGGTTATCAGTATTAAACACCTTGAATGAATCATCAGAAAAACTGGATGACTTCAGCTACCCAAGTACAAGAACATGCATTGCCTTTAGGCTATTGCAGCTGTTATAAAACAGAAATAATTATCTTGAGAGGAAAAAAAATCAGCCACATATATTCACTAATATATATGTTTATGACATCATTGAAAACATGCCTAAAAGTTTTAGGATAGTAAAGCCATTTTCTATTGTAAATTGTGTCATGCCTGCTCATACTTTCTGTAGCCTCAGAAAATCTAGGTCCGTGTGCGCTCTCACTGTCACAGTAATCTTTTAAAAGAATTTTATTTTTTATTCTAACTACACTGTTGTAAGAGCTATCATCTCTATTGCACATGTGAGGAGCTGTAAGATCCTCAGAAGCACATAAAACCCATCAGAATGAGAGTATTCACTGCAGCCTTCAATTAAAACTTTCAGTCATCAGCTGGAGTTCGTGACTTGGGATGCCACAGGCACCTGTGCCATCTTGATTCAAATGTTTTGTTCTGTTTTGTTTAAGGAATGTGCTTTAAAGGTTTGCTATCTTGATCATAATTTAATAATTGTGGTATAAGCAAGAGAAAGACATCTAGATGAAGATTTAAATACAATGGGTATCAGTAATATATATAAAACACCATTAAACCTTTTGCTCATATTGATGGATGGATTTGATGTTCTTGAAGGTCTTTTGCAAACTATTCTACAATTCTGTGAACCAGGCAGCTGTTCTTTTGTTTATTTTTGCAGCAGTGTTGGCAGTGACCAGTGTGCCTGGCTTCATCTAGCATAGAAAACCCTCACCCAGAAATCTTTGATGTCCTCCTTAGCCTGAGGAAGTTCAAACTTTCATGTGCTGAGGCACCACATCCAGGTTCAAAAAATAGCCCTTTGAAGGCAAACAATGTGTGGGAGCCAGAAGAGGGTCTGAAGAGGAGGCAGACCGTCTCAGCTGATAAGGGAGCATCTCTGACTAAGAAAGGATTTCTTTTCCAGTTTTGGCTCTCAAGATCTATTTTTTTCTTTTTATTGAAGAGCCATTGAGTGTCATGTTGGAGTAAAAGTACCAGTAGCTGCTCTTTTCTGTGCACAGCTTGTATTTCTGTGTACTAAAGCCATCCAAATCTGTTAGGCAGACTTAAGATTCCATTTGTTTATTCAAGACCCTCAGGTTATGTCCATTCTCAATATATTAAACAGCATCCAGGAATATTATTAAGCCCCTGAATGCAATGTCTGTTCTCCCTTAGAGCAGTCTTGGCCTGCTTTTTACCCATGCTGACTCTCAAATAATGCAGGGGAACAGTTCAGGAGTTAGTGTGACATAGAGCCCATCACTGGAGTGCCATTTGTAGGTAGTGTCTCTTGTTGCATGAGGTTTAACATCAGGAATACAGGGCATTCCCTGCCAATTGGCCACGTTGCCAGTGCTGGCACATTTCATTTATTAGCATTGATGCAGCTTCAAGGAGTTTAAGCACAGAGGGTGTCTATACTGAATTTTTAACATGTATGAATACATGCTGGGTTCATCTCATCTGCAGCAGGTGAAATGCAGGTGCCTCAGAAGGACTTTATGGATCACATTCTTGAGTTGAAGGCTTGAAAGTGCTTTTGGGTCTTTCTTCCTTCCATCCTTCTGTCCTGTTTTGTTCAGTGATATGACCAAGATTACAGAACAAGTATGAGCTTGAAGACCATATCTCCTAATTTTTTTGCCTCATATCTTTACCATTGTTTCATTCCTAAATTCTGTATTAAAAAAACATGATGTATGTGTTTGTTATTTCTCTGTGTAGGAAAATGCTACTGTTCTCCTGCGAGCTGAGATCTCAGCTGTAATAACATTAGCTCTAGAAATGGCAGTCTCTTTTTTCTCCCATCCCATATACACTGCTAGTAGTGAGAGAAATACCTTTGCTTGTCCCTCTGAAGGAGACCAGCAGCCTTGGCTGGAAACAGGCATGTAGAGGCCAAGCTTCAATGCACCCAAATGGTGCATTACACATGTTCCAAGATAGGACGACTGTGCCCAAGTGCTGCAGAAAACCCCAACTCTTGGAAACTTACATCTGAATCTACAAAACAAATCTAAAATCTGAAAAAATGCCAACTTGACTTCCTCTGGTTTTTAGATGCATATTTGAATAAAGTAAGAATTTATTTTGTTAGTTTAGCAAACTCAGCTTGCTAAGTTTAGCAGGTTTCCTCCTTTCTGAGGTGGAAGTAGAACTATACTACAGAATTGTTAAGTGTAATGTTTTATTATGGTGATGTATCCAGACACAGAACACAACTTGACTTTCAAACTTCAAGCAGGAGTTTGCAGTGCTAGCAAGTAGGAAAAGGATATTTGTACATGCAAGCTGCAAGTCTTATCTGGGCATCGCTGAGAGATAGTAATCTTGGGACCTTATGACGTTATGTTACAGAGATAGAAATGAAGGGTAACAGCAGTTGTGTGAAACTTTGCACAAATCTAGTAGAAGATCAGATGGCTTGTTTTTAAAAGGAGGGAAGGAAGACTATTTATTTCCTCCCAGAGGAACTTCTACAAAGCTATTGTCCTTATCAGAAGAACACCTTTTTCCTGAATGTTATCTCTCTGACATTTGTTCTGTATAACCTAATGAGGGCAGGTGGAACACCATGGAAATGAGTTATTGTTGATTTAATACAATTATAACTTTTGTTTCAAAGTTGGTGTTTTGAGTTTTCGTTTTGCCTGTTGGTGACCTTGGGCTATTTCATAGTCAACAGCAAGATACAAAAAAATGGCACTACTTCTCATTCGTAGATTGCTAAGTGATTCAGTTATCTAGAAACTGTAGCAGAGTTTCATACATACATACATAGCTTTTCTTCTCTGAGGAGCAGAGTGTTGCTTGATCTCCCCTCCAACTGCCTTTTCTGCATAAGGAAGGGGTCCAGGAATCCCCCTATGTATAATCAATGAATATAAAGATGTTGTTACGTTAGTATTTGTTATTATGAAATAAACAAGAGATTTGGCAAAGCAGATTATAATAACAAAATGAGAATAGATAGAATACTTACCTGCATCCTGGGCTTACTGCAAAACTCCAGAGAGGGGGTCTCCAGAAGAGATCCTTTTCCCTGGTAGTCAGCTCTTAAATGGGTGTAGGAGAGGTGCAGCCAGGCTCCACCCCTTCTGGCAGCACAGGAGAATTGCCTTCACCTTTGCTCCTGTGGCTGACTCATTGCTCGCCTCTGGTGATCAATCAGAGGTTCAGACAATGATTCAACAGTTTCCATACACCCTACAACATGATTGGCAAGAAGACAGCAACAAGATGGGATATGCTGACGTGAAGCAGGAAGGGGCTTCCTTCTACCAAATGTTTAGAGAATGTTGCAAACCAGGTTGTTCTTTAGTCTTAGCAGTATTGGCATAAGAGTGTGGTCCTTCCAGAACAAAGAGGCTTGCAATGATGGCCAGGGACTGGGAATGAGCTCAGCTATGCCTCTGCTCCTCCTCCCATGACCAACCTGTCTTTGTTTGCATTTCCAGCACTAAACAAATAAGTGCAAGGGGACGTGAGGCTTGCAAACATTCACTATAAGCAGTGAAGCCTGGAATTTAACCTTGTTTGTATGTAGGGATAGCCTCTTCCCATCTTGGCATTGGAACAGAGGTATGTTAAATTCCAGGTCACAGAATGTGAGATTTTTGAATACCAAGGCTCAGGGAATACTTGACACAATCTCTTGAATCCTAAATGGCTGAACATCCATGGTCTGCTTTCATGACACTAAAAGTTTTGCCACTGCTGATGTTTTTTCTTTTCCTGTTTGCTCAGTAACTTGGGGAAAAGCATTCTCTAAACTCCTAAGAAGTGCTTCGAAGCAAAGATTTGTTTTAAAATACAGTATAAAAAATAAAATGGAAAATAAGAAGAAAAAAAAAAAAGCAAACTATATCCACAGAGCCACTCCTTGATACTTTACATGTACGTTTGCTTTAATAGCAAACCCTGAAGGAAGGCAAATTCCCAATGCTGCTGTTCTGCCAGAATCAGGGGACAGCTTCTATCCCATTAGGAAGAAAAATTGCTTCAGCTCTGCCTATCAGATAAATGATCATCCTGAGGAATTCCATCAGGAAACTGCTTCTTCTAAACCACCTTCTCCTTTTCACCATACTTGGCTACTGGGAAAACTAGGAGAGTCATCCACAGAGGGAAAGAAATCTAAGTGTAGTATAGGAAGAAATTTATTTTTCTCTGTTGTCATCTATCCTGGCTTTCAGCCAAGCAGATTTGGTCCCCAGCTGTTAGATAAGCTTAGTTATTAATCCCCATGCAGTCCAGCCACAGTGTGCTTCTGGAGACAGGGTGGTCCCCAAGAGCTCCTATTGAGTCTGGACCTGAAAGCCACAAGCCTCCACACGACTATCAGGCAGCCAGTCTCTGCTCTAGAGTGACCATTCTGGGGAGCTGAGATGATCAGCTCTAATTGCAGCTAAAGATAGCTTGTCTTTAACAAGCCAACACAGTTCTGGCTCAGAGAAAAGCTCCAGTTCTTTTCAGAAGCCAGCACATGGTCTGACAGTCTGTATCAGTGTCTTAAGCAGCATTTGTCCCACATCACCAGCTTCAGCCACGTTTCTGCCCACGTACTGCCTATTCCTTTGATAATTTTTCAGACATTGGTTATTTTGTTCTACCGCCACACAAACAGCTGAGCTTATGCAGCACAGGGATCAAGCACGGTGCTGACAGTCACCTAGGAGAGAGCAGTCTTACAGTGTAACATCCTTTGGATTTTGTCCTTACATGGAGCTTCCATGTGATTTCTTCTAGACCTTGCTTTCTGGAGGGAGAGAAGGGAGAGAAGACAGTCAGAATGTGTTAGTGTCTTTGAAACTGGATGTTCCTAAGTAGCAGTTTATTCAGTGTTTGATGAGCCATTCAGTCATAGGTTATACAGCTGGGGACAAATTCTTGCAGTCTTCTGCTTCTCAACAGGAATTCAACTCATTTCTCCACTTAGTCAGGTTGGGGAAAAAAGGGCATATCTAGGGAATATAAAAACCTGCCATTTCTCATGTTCTCCATTCTGTAAACGTTTGCTTACTTCGTGGTGCAAATACCATATTACTTCCCAGAAGCCAAGGCTAGAGTTCTTTTATTTTCTACGGTACTAAGAATAAGCTTAAATACAAGGGCCATTAAAAAGCATACTCCTGCCACTTTGCAGGTCAGTTGTGCCTGCAGAGCAACTGATCCCTGTGTCTCGATCAGCTGGCTCGTGCCATAAGTCTCGCATACTTTTCCCATTCAATCTCAAAACATTTTTAATGTTTGGAAATCTCTGGCTTCAGGAAATTTCTTAGCAAGAGTTTCCACCTTTCAGCAAAGCTGATTCTTAAAGCTGTGAAATTCTTCATCATCTGCTCCCAGAGTGAACCTGTGTGGAAGAACAAGATCAAACAACATATCCAAGGACATACTGCAGACAATTCACAATAATAAACTGGTTGCATTAGTCTCAGAACAGCAATTCAAAGGATCCTAGGATTAAGCAAATACTGTATATGCCAGTTCATTTGCACCATCTGCTGAAATGAGTATCAGAAGGGGGAAGGATAGTAGGCACATGGGACTGTGTGTTGAAATACATTTGGAAAAAGAAAATTGTTTCAGAAAGCTATGAAAACAAAAATCTGGATGCTTACAAGTTGGCAGCCAGGAGAGGTAAGGAAGGATGATGTCATTTCATTGACCTCAGAGACTTGGTTTTTTCATTTACCAGTTTTTAAGAGTGGGAAGGTTGTGGAACTTAATATTGTTTACTCTGGAGTCTATTTTGCACTCATTAGGAATTTCTGTTTAACTATGAAAAACACAATTACAGAAATTATTATACACAAAATAGGAAGTAAGGATTTTTCAAATGTTCTTGGATTCTGTGAGTGTACACAATGGCTTAGATGATTAGTTTAGAGGATGCAGTTGCTTACTGAAAATGTGTTGCATCGATCAGAATGAGTGACAGGCATTTAGATCCTTTAAGCTGATCTTTGGATCAGTAATGTTACTGAGGATGTTTTCATGTAAAATGAGATCAAAAGCTAAGAAACTTGGTTTTTCAGGCACTATTGTAAAATGTGTGTTAATCAAAAGATGATATTGGGTTTATATGATGTCAAACATGAAAACAGTAATATAAGGGAAAAAAGATCCCAGTATTCCAGTAGTCTGGGAAATGCAGGCGCATCTCTCTGGTATGTCATGTGGCATATTAGCATATACCAACCCATTTCAGCCACTGAAAATATGTATTTATTTCTTCTCATTGATACTGCTTAAATATTAGATGTTACATTTTTTTCCCTTATAATATAAATTGCTATAAGAAATGTAATTTAACAATCTGTGCAAAAGATAATGGCTGTGCAAGTCAAAAGACAATTGCAAAGAAGTTTAGCTTGGTGATAAATGTCTTTCTCTGTGAGATGATGAATAAGAGCTGCAAACACAGCCCACTGTTAGATTCTTTTCTGATTTAGACTCTGAATTAGGTGCAAGAAAAAAAATTCCGTGCTCTTTCCTTTAGAGTTGAATTAGGGCTGCATTTTGGAGCATGATTATAGAAGAGTTCCTTAAACAAATGCAGCCGAAAGTAGTAATTGTTTAGACAGTTTCATTTGCAGTTCTCATAGTATCAGAACACCTCAAAATTACTGGTAAGTATCACTAATTCATGGCTATGTGGTGTTAAAGAACCTAATGCATCAGCAGAGAATAAAGTCTGGCTTTGTGTATATCATAGGCCATTATGTGTTACTGAATTACTGCCAAGCTGAGCCCAGTGGTTTCCATTTCGCAGGGACATAACTGGTGTTTGGCAAGAGCAGAAAGTATTCTCACAGTACACATTTTGAATTATGGAATTTTTAGTTTCCTTATTATATAGGTGGGACACAGAGTAGTTCAGGGAACCATTAGAAGGCCTTTCTGCATTCTCTACCACGAGGTTATTTTCTGTGAAAAAAACAACATGAACACCACAGGAATCTTAAGGTCCCAGTAACTCCTTCCTCGTAAAACTGACTTCTCCTAACACTAGTGGTGATAATGAGAATTTGATTATTGTTCTGTGGCTTGTGTGATATTTTCAGTCCTGGATGAAACACACTAAAAAGTTGTTCTGAAGACAGAGGATACATGACTGTGATCACACTAGCAGAAAAGTTCAAAATCCACCCTTGTTCTCTGAAACCACTGAACTGCCTGAAGAAAATTGATGTGTTGGTGTAGGCAAAATTACCCAAGCCGTGTACTAGAGGTAAAATTTACATTGCCTTGCTCACATGAGAAGATGTAGATGGTAAATGTTTCTATAAATAAATTATTAAAAGCCAAATGTAGTTAGAGTTTCCAGGGACATTGTGAGTGCTCTGGAAATTGCAGCTGTGCTGCCCCCAGTGGTGCTAGCAGCACTGCACCCTGCCTATGTGCGTCAGAAGTGAATGGATAGTGCTGTCTGCATGCAGTCAAATTTTGGCTTCCCAATCCAGAAACATAGGCTTGCCCCTTAGTCAAGCCCCTCTTCACCTCAGAAAACAAACAAGACTTCCCAATCACTGTGGCTCTACACACTCAGCAGTGCTCTGTCATGCATCCTGTGGGCTGCTGGATGGGCCTTGCCCACCTCACCTGAGGGGTAGATGCACCCATAATAGGGCTGCAGGTTCATTCTCATCAGTACGGACCCTTTGTGCACAATATCACAAGCAATATAAATGCAGCCTGGATCAGATTTGAGCAAAATCACATTTCTGTCAAATTAGCAGAGTGTTTGTCGTGCACTTAGGACTGATTTTGGTGGTAGCTGGTCTTGTGCAGGAGTGGAAGTGGCAAGTGATACCTCGTAAAGCAGGAAGCATAGCAATACAAAAGTAATCTGTTGGATAGTTTTGAGAAAAACTTGAACTGGTCAAGTTAATTTCTGCAAGAAGAGCTCTCTGCTTCATGGTGTCCAGGAGCCTTCCTGCTAGCGTTGGTGTATTGGTGAGCACAGCTTAGATGCACAGATATCAGCACTGGGAGCAGTGCTGCAGTGCAGTCGGTAGCACTGATACACACACTGAAGACCTTTTTCAATATTACTTCTCCAGAGAACTTCAAATAAACTGATGAATCTGAAAGACTTCCCAGAAAACACATTTCCTTTTCAGCTAGCAGCTCAGTTATTCGTCTAAGTAGTCTGTGGATTAAGTAATTTGATAACCTGAAAGGTTTCTTTTTGTGAAACAGTTGTGTGCTATTGCTCTCTGATTTTTCCATCTCACCTCTACAAGTAGCCCAGAAATTCAGAGCAGGTATATCAGGCACAGATCAGACCTGCCATCAGCTGCACCAAAAGCTGGCAGCTGCCTGGGAGTTACTGGTGCACCTCAAGAACTGCAGCATGCCATGTGTGTGAAAGACCAGGGAGTGAAAACAAAAACAGGGAGATGGTTAACAAGACTAGTTCTTTTCCCATTTGCTTTGCAGCTCACTTCTTTACATATGTGTTGGAAAGACAGAGCATGGATCTTTGTCATTGAACATCACAGAAAATTAATGTAGGAGAGGCTACAAGGAGGTACAACACCACGTGCTCTAAGGCCATTGAACAACCCAGTATCTAATTTATTTAGCTAACAGACAGGCTGGGACATCTGATTTTTCTAAGCAAATGGTAGTGGCTGTCACTTCAGTGCTTCTCCACCTTTCCATCTCAGAAGGGGCTGACAGGATGCCTGCTTGTCCCCATCCGCCTGCAGACACCAGCACTGGTGGCCGGCTCCCCCCCCAGACAGGCACTGGGTGCCCCTCCCTAGGGCCTGCATCCCCCTCCCTGCCCAGGGTCAGCAGGGCTGCCAGACAGTGCCAGCACCACCTGTGATGGCCCCATGGGCTGACGAGATGCAAACATTCAGGAACAGAGGGCAGCGTGTGCCAGCTTACACCTCCCTGTCACATCCAGCCACCTTAAATCCCATCCCTGTTTTTGTACAGACTCTGACAGAACAGCTCCATTACAGTGTGTACAGGCAGAGAAACAGTATTGATTTTGCTGTGCCTGAATGGAATTCTTAACAGGAAAACAAACCTAGTGCTGATTTTTTTTTTTCCCTTTGACTTTTGTGTGTGGGTTTCTGTACTCACCGTGTAGGATTTGATCCATGGGAAGTACAGAGATAGAGCTTGATTTTTAAGATGAACACAACCAAGGCT